TACTTTGGTTCTAACGCCAACATTATGACGTAAGCGGTTGAAGTTACTTAAGGGTTTCTTTGGTACGATTCTCAAAATCATTAATTACAGGCGGCCAACGGTCGGCCTTTTGGCTTCCTCAGCATGTTCAAACGACCTTTATAAATAGAAAAACCCCACCATTTTGTCGATATCAATCTCTTAGTGCTTCCAAGATTTCATTTGGCCCCTTTCAATTTCTTTGAACTCTCCCTTTTCTTTCCTAACGACATTTTCCATTTTCTCAGATCTTCCGCTTTAGAAATGGCAAAAACCTCTAAAACTGTTCCTCAAAAGGAAAAAGCTTCATTGTCTTCTCGAACTACCAAAGGTAAACCGGTAGTTGCTCCTAGTATCGAGGAGTGTACTCCCGGGCATTGTGATAAATCTTTAGATTTCCAAGTCGAAAAGCCCTCCTCTGTTCCGGGACGATGCGTACCCATGTCTCGATACATCAGTTTAATAACTGAAAATCGAAAAGGTGAATGCCGGCTGCCATTGGGGGAAGGTGGTTAAAGTTGAGATTCCTTCATGAGGAGAAGACATAACCAAGCACAAGGCCCGTCTCCTTAGTGTATACATATATCTTTTCACCTTAGGCTCAGAATTATCCTCTTTACCATCGATAGATCCAGTGGTCCTCGATTTCTGCAGCTAATATCAGGTGACACTTGGACAAATCTATCCATCATTTTGGCACATCGTTTATATGATTAGGTATCTCTCAAACATGGTTGAAGGGATGTCTTTTGTAAAGCCCCAGATAATTTTGCTAAATAATTTAAGATTTCGTGGAGCCAAGGTAGGCTAATTATTTTATTTTGTGTGCAAGTGAGGATTCATGACATTATGGATATCAGTTGGATATGTTAATAAACGTATAAGTCATATTATAAGTGATTTGGGGTCTAAGGAGAGGCCTAAATCTAAGCCAAGTTGGAAAATTTCATAATGGACTAAAGTTGTGAATGAGTACGCACAAGACTTCACTTTGGACAATAATATCTCCAGTTATATAAGGTTTTGTGTGATGCACAACCAATCAAATTAAAGCTCTTTGAGTCTAGTTTCCGACACATTAAACCGTTCATCATTTGGAGGCGTAAACAGAAAGTTACAACAATTTTACTGGGCATGTGTCATATGTGTGCCCAGGTGTGCGGCGGAAGCGCGGCCGCGCATATCGGGAAGTATTCTGCCTCTGAGCGTGGCCATTAGCACGGGCACGCTAGTAGCAGATCTCTAAATACCCCAAGACCGGGTATGGAGAGTCTCTAAGTCATTTCTTTAGCAAGGGCTTGCTCTATCAAGGGGAATCCGTCCCATACTTCCCTCCTATGATCCAAGGTAAGATTTTTGGAGTATTTTGAGTTGATTACTACTCCTAAACACTTATACTAACAAGGATTGATCTTGAAAATCCATAGATTCTTATTCAAATTCCTAAATTGGTCAAGAACACTACAAGTGGGGATTCTCAAGATTTTTACTACAAGAGGTATGTCTATCATATCTAACTACTCTATGGTGATTATTTATGTATGATATATACATTAGAACTCATGGGATGGTGATTGGAAACCATAAGTGTCTAACCTAGGTTGTGTTGGTGTTGCAGAGATTGTGAAATAGGTTAATTAAGGAGGTTGATGTTTGGGTATGAATGGTTGGTCATACATGTGTTGTTGGAAGTTATAAATTGGTTAGGAATGATGGTGGAATAATTCGTTGGTTAATAGTGATAGTTGGATGAACTAATACTAAAGTTATGAGGTGTAAAGATCTATACCTACAAGGTGTTTGATAATATGCCTAAATGACTTAAGTTATGGAATTTGTTACTAATATTGGCCACATTGAATGTTATATTGTAGATTGAAGTTTCTTAAGTGTATTGGATCATTGTAGTATGATTAAGGGGTAAATTTGAGGTATGTATGGCTAAAACCCCCTCTTCTTAGAAATTGAGCTCTTTTGGTGTCCATGAAAATGTTGTTAAGATCGAACTTTGATTGCTGTATTGATTGTTACTTCATGTGAATTAGTGTTGCAAAATATATACGTGAAAGGTGTGTCTCAATATGTTCGATATGCTATCCTTGGTAATTTAAAGATGTTAGAAGAATGTGAACCATGTGTTGAAATGCTTCGACTTCAAATCAAGTTTAAACTTAGATCGTTATGCCAAATTGTGTGAGAAAACTCATTATGGTTGATCCTCCTAATTGTTCTTATGTGTACTAAATGTATTTAATTAATTGTGTCCAGTTGTTGGTAGTGTATAAAGATGTTTGAAATAAATCAAATGAATTGGGGAAATAACATGTGGCCAACGTGCCAAGAACTTGAGTTATAATTGTGCCTGGTAGTGCCTATGCCATGAGAAAATATGAAACAGATTATGAAATGAGCCTTGACTCTGATTTCCATAAATGACTTCAATGATAAAGTGCCCTAAAGGCTTTATACACAATTTATGCTCATAAACGGCTATTCGAGATAATGTTTTGCCTTATAAGTACATTCAATATGATCCAAGTTGTTACATACTTCGATGTTGAAATTATATATTATCATGATTGGAAAAGAATAATTCAAGAATAATTAGTGTAATTGCTTATTTATGCGTTTGATGTGTGTTTCTGTTGTGGTTTGGTGTGTCCCCTCCCTTTTGGAAGAATCTGTTGTGTTTAAAGTTCCATTGCTAATAAACTTGAGGTGTGTGATTGTCCGAAATATTGTATATGCCCATGATTCATGATTCCTCTCATGTGTACTTGACATCTTCGGTTGAATGGCTTGATGTTGTAATTGATATTGATGTGAGATTTGGAGGAAAAGAGTTTGAACTATGAAATGTGGCCTAGTACCAAGTATGATGTGATAATTGTGGCCCCAAGTGCCTATGATCTGATATATGTGAAATGAGATGAATGATGGAAAATGAGTAATGTCTTGGTAAGACGGCCTAGCCGATCGGGCCGTGATTGGATGCCATGCTACACACATGGTGGTATTGTGCTGATATTGAAATCGGAAAGTGAGAATGAAATTGTGATTAAGGTAACGTCTTGGTAAGACAGCTTAGCCGATTGGGCCGTGATCGGACGTCATGATATATACATATGGTGGTAATGTATTGATGTTCGAAACTAGAAAGTGTGAATGAAATAATGGTAACGTCTCTGGGAGATGGCTTAGCCGATCGGGCCGTGATCGGACTCCGCTCAAAGAAGCGGTGGCAAAGTGAATAATGATGCAACAGTGTGGGATGCTCCAATCTAAAATTTCAGAAACTATGTGAAAATCATGTGAACCTCCTTATATTGTTGACATTGTGCTTATTTGAAACTTTGTTGTCTTTATGATTTTCTCTTTATTATTGTATGAAAGTTCTTTCTAACTAGATGGTGTTTAGTTATACATACTAGTGCTATTCGATGGCACTAATGTCCCTTTTGCCTAGGGCGCTATGTCTTTAAATGGATGTAGGTGTTTCTATAGTAGACAGTGTTGGTCGCAGCTAGTGCCGCATCATCCTTTCAGCTGACTTGGTGAGCCTCACTTCATTTCGGGATCCTGTACCATTATTTATCATGTACTTTGTATTTTGAGATATAGTCAGAGCCTTGTTGCTGGCATTTCCATATTACTCATTGGTTGTATTTAGAGGCTCCGTAGATAGGTAGTGGGTAGTGTTTGGTATCGGGAATTAAATAGGAAATATTGGTATTTGGCAAATATGTCTTCCTTCATATCTATAAAAATTATTATATTTTGGATACTATGGTTGAAACTGTCAATGGAACCAAAGTGAAAGTTGTTAATGAAATATTTTCAGAGTTTGAATAATGGAGTATATCTCCTCTTTATTCAAGGATGACTTTGGGTAGAATGAAATCTAATAGGCTTGCTCAGTCGAGTTTAATGGGTTGAGCGCCGATCGTGCTCCTCGGTTTTGGGGCGTGACATCTTTTACCTTCGACTATCTAATTAGACTCTATAGCCACCGACCCTATCGAGGTGGCCTAATTAAGCTGAAACGTTGATCCTCGAAGGTCTTCTTTGCTAGAATCGATTAAGACAAGCACCAAGGGTGGGTGAGCCGCATTGTCCGAGTCAGGACCTCAGACCTGATCCCTGCTGAGAGAATGCCATTCCCCAAGAAATGGAATATGAATAGTAAGTAAACATGTTCCACTGATCAGATACCTTTTCTTGACTTTGAATTAACTTTCTTTGATGATACAGCTGTTGAGTGGTACCCCGGTGCTATCAACGATCTTTCAGGCTGGGTCTGGTGACTTGATTCGATCTATCCATATGCTAAGAGCATGTGGCGCGATCTGGCTAAGACCCGTTGGGAGGCCAAAAATCATGGTGACTTTTTATCTCTGTTCATATTCAAGCTCTTTAGAGATGATATTTCTCACTAGCTCTCTCATCCTTTGTGCCTCTGGAGGCCGTTTTGATGAGGGAACCCTCGTCGGGGAAGTAGATACCCCGTAGCCTGCTAAGGAAAAGAATAGAAAGAAGAAATCATCGTCCAGGTCCCCGAAGCCAAAAAAGGCTAAAGTTCAAAGGCCTGAGACTGATTCATTGGCCTCAACTCGGGAGGCGGCCGAAGGTCTTTGTGCCGAGGGTGAAGAGAGTGATGACTGCTCGCTTGTACTTGGGGGGAGAAGAAGTGATGCTACCTCGAAATCTACTAAGCTAAAGGTGACTGAGCCGGAGGTTCCTAGAACTGAGGCCACCCGATCTGAGGGAATTGTTAAAGGGGGCTTAGACGAAGTCCCCGAACCGACCATTGACCAAAACACAGCGGTTGCGAGGGGCACTTAGTTGATAAACCCGAAGAAACTATTAACAAAGCCCCTCGTTGGAGGGAGAGGTCCCCCGTCGACCCCGTCGAGGTGATCAACGTAGATGAGCCTCTGTTGGGCCCAACATTCTCTCCTGGACAAATATGGGATGCCCAAGTTATGAAAACTCCCGTTGTGGAGGCATCCCCCAGGGAGAATAGTATGTTTGAAGGATATTTGGCTGGGGTTGAGGAAGGCCCTGATATCGACACCTTATTGATCTTTGAAGAGGCCGAGAAGCTTCGACAACAGGTAATGTTGATTTGAATGTTGTATTTTGAGTTTCGATTTTGCTTTTCCGACTCTCTACTTCTATGTTTTCAGGTCTTAAAAACTCTCCAACCAAGCCTTTTCCAAGTCACAAGTAGAGTTGGCTCGTTGTGAGGACGAATTTAGGAAGCTCATCTCTAAATTGGGCGAACTTAAGGCCCTTCATGCCCAAAAGGAGGGGGAGCTAGGTGACCTTCGAGATCAATTGGAGAGGATATCTCAAGAGCGGGCCGATCTCGATGAGAAGGTAATACGACCTTTATTTTTGTGCTTTAGTCAATTGAATGTTTGATACCTTAATTTGACTTTTTCAGCTCAAGCCAAAAGACGATTTAATGCGATAGGAGCTTAGAGTCAGAGATACCGAAATCCTTAGGCTGAAGCAGCGCAAGGATGAGGTGTCTTCCGATAAAGAAACTCTTCGAGAGAAGCTGACCTCGGTTGAGTGCCAACTTCAAGGGGCGAGGGGAGAAAGCCTCAAGTACAAAGATATCCATTATGAAATAGTTGCTGAGCTATCTGCAGCTAAGTCCGAGGCTGCTGAGCTCATGTCCTCAAACAGAAAAGATGTTGATGCTGCAAATGCTCGAGCCAGGAAGATATCCGAAGAGGCTGAGCTTAAACTGTCCGATGCCTTGGAAAATGGCTGATTAAAATCTAAGAGACAGTATCTCGAGAATGTATATGCAGGGGGCATCGATTTGTCTACTGAGATGAAGAGAGTGAAGGCCCTATAAGAAGAATTGGCAACTCTGATTTCTTCCGACGATGGTTCAGCTAGTGATTCGACTAGCGGCTCGGAGGATGATGAAGACGATGGTGAAGTCCCCGAAGGGGAAGATGCCATCGATGTTCCAAGGGTCAAGGGCCAGGCCGTTGAAGGCACAACTTCCGAGGTAGCTCTGTCCAGTTAAGCAACCCTGGTGGTAGATTAGGTTTTCATTTGTTCCTTTTCTATGTAAGGGCTCCAGGCGTGAGCCTTGTAAATATGTCTTTGTGAAACCTTATCATATATATATATATATATATGGATTTTTGCTTCTTGTCATTTCTTGTTTTCCCATTGCCTTTT